ATTAAACGTGGTGGGAAAGCCAACTTAATTATGGTTTTCCATTTGCAAACAAGAAGACATTTGTTATGAGTTCAGGATACTTGATCCCAAGAAAAACAAACAGCTAACGACATTATTTTTTGTCTTTTTGAGCCAGTGGTGGCTCTGGAGTCCTGTTTCAAAATAAAGGTTTCACTGCGGGAAGTCAATTAGAACAGAGACTGCTGGCAAAGGGTCAGCGGCTTTCCCTTTCAAAGATTGATTTGAGAGCTGTGACCCAGCTTTCCACCTTGCCGGGATGGAAGGGGATGTGGACAAGGCCTCCTTATTAGTACAAGGACCTGTACGTCTGGACCAGCTTTTAGGGGCCATGCTGCAGTCAGCCGGGAAGATGCGGTGACTGAGGCTGCTGTTCCTCCAGAAAGGACCAGTTTCTCTGGGGAAAAATGCAAATGTGAATGGTCTCATGCTGGTGGTGGTGGTGGTGGAGATTAAATATGTGCTACAGTTTGGAACATCCGTCAGTGAGCTCAAGATTAACAGTGGCCGCCTTTTAACTGCTGCTTGCTATTCACCCATGCGTTACCACACTCAGCTTTCGCAATAGCACCATATTGCCAGACTCTACTCCGAGAGAAAAAAATTTCAACAAATCCAGTCAATGGGAATGTAAAGTGTGAGTCCAGGTCTATTTTTACAGTTCCTCGTAGAAAGTCATAAAGATACGGCGAGCCCTGCAGCAGTATAGAAACGCACTTCAATAATGAAATAGGGGCTTCTCAGTGGTTGAAAGGACTTTCGGTGCTGAGTGAATTCAGAGGAAACAGAAATGACTTCCTTCCGCCAAGGAAACTGGCAGTGTCGTGTCTGTAAAGTCCACAGAACCTCGCTGGAACTCCAGCTCTTATTTCTAAGCTACATGCTGAATGAGTTTCACCTCCCTCAGTTACCATTAGCTGTGACTGGAGCATTGAGAAACCATCTTCCATTTAGATGACTGTGGCTTTTGAGGATGATAGCATCTATGAGGCACTCATGAATGGCTATGGAGTCCTATGTGAAAACTGGCTTGTTCAATGTAGAGAGTGTCAATTAATGGGATTTGGAGGACAAAGATAGTGTGTCAACACAGCCACACACATTTGAAAGACCATGTTAAGTATCTCCAATATTAAAAAATTTCCATCTTACCTAATAAATTTAAATATCCATTGGCTATGTAAAGTTTTCAAGTCTTCAAGCCTAAGAACTTGTTTTGGTTCAAAAATGGCAGCAGCCCTGTATCAGACTAATCCTCTTACTAATTACAATGACAAACTTCTACAGAAAAATATAAAAATCAACTTTATAAATCACAGGAGAGTACCTAAAGGCAACCAGAAACTGAAGGGGCTTTGACTCTGGGTAGGAGGGGACCACCATGGGCGAGATTTGTATTTATGAGTCTTTTCTTCTGAAAGAGTTTCCAAATGTGTGGCATTAAGAAGCAACAGTTCAAACCCAGGGCTTACCTTCTTCGTGACCCAAGAAAACTAACAGAGGGGAAACCTAAAATGTGATGGTACTACGATGTGTGTGGCAGGCTTGTTACAAACAGAATCTACTTAAAGCCTTGGTTGACCTGTGGCAATAGCCAAAGGCAATAGTAACCAGGGGCAATGGTAACACTGAGCCCTGACTTCAGCAGCTTTCTGCAGTTGATAGGGTTAGAATACAAATCCAGATAAAGTGATGAAATTCCCACTGAAACTGTGGAAGGACCATAGGTCAGCATAGAGATTATGCCTCAAGACTAAGAACTGACCTAAAGGAAGAGGGAAATGCACATATATCAGCACAAACTTGGAAATGAGGCCACTGTGAGATGAAGGTCATTCACTAGTAAGTTAGCTGATGTAGTTTTCTAGCTTCTCTTGCCCTGTGGGTTGTTGGGTGGGTATCCTTTTCTCTTTGTGGGGATAACACAAATACACACACACACACACAAATACACAT